ATGGCTTGTCACCTCCTCTGACCTTCTCAAGGACTTTGCTACTGCAGTGACACTCTCTCTTTCTTAGTCTCTCTCTCTCTTCACTGCATCATTAGTTTATTCACTGACCTTTCTCACTTGCACTCAAATATGCCCTAGTATTTCCCACATCCCTTCAGCTATCCTGCTGCCCCTCTGCCTCACATAATATGATTTAGGACAGAAGTTACTGGCATCTCTTTATCTGCCTTCTCTCCTCAGTGCAATTCCATGAGGTCATTGAGGCCACCACATGACTGATGTCCCTCTTGTCCAGATCACAATGACTAGCAGGTGGCCACATGCAGGGGTCATCTCTTCAGCCCCATCCTAGCTTTCTAGTTGTCCCACATTTGACTTTTCTTCCCTAGAATCACTTTCTTCCCTCAGTCTCTGTGGCAATATAATCTCCTGCTTTTTCTCCTGACCTTCCTGGTGATTCCATCCCATACCACTTGCTAATTGCCCAGCCTCTACAAGGTGGGGTGTCCTGGGGCTCATTATTGTGCCCCTTTCTCTTCCCTGTTTCACTTGGTGATTTTATTTGATTCCATGGCTTTAAATAAAACTCCATACTTACACCCCCTGTAACCTGGTCTTGAGCCCTGGGTCCGTATAACTAATTGTCAGTGTAAGTCTAACTGGAAACTCCAGAAGTTAGATAGCACATCAGACAGAGCAGCCCTGATAATTCCTTTCTTCCCTGGGGCTTCTTGTACCAGTAAATAGCCAATACCATTATCTATCAGTTGTTCAAGCCAAAGTCTAACTCTCTCATTCTCTTAACTGCCAAATACAGTCCATCCAGCAAGTCCTACCATGTTCACATCCAAAGTACATCCTGTTTCCATACCCTTCTCTCCATTTTCCAGTTTAAGCCACCTGGGTCTTTCACCTGAGTTATTACAGTAGCTTCTTGCAAGTGTTCCTGAGTGTGCTCCTGCTTCTTCAGGATCAAATCTCTATGCAGTAACTAAAACAGCTTTTAAACAAGTAGGTGTGTGTCTCTGTCCTGTCTGAAACTCCCCCGTGACTACCATTTCATGTGGAGTACTTCTGAACTCTCTGCCTTGGCTTGTGAGTCTGTGATGGTCCTGGTGGGCTCATCTCTCAGGCTTCTTACTGCCCTGCCCCACACTCTCTTGTCCCACTGCTCCCAGCCACATGCCTTCTGTCTCTTCTCCACACACACACACGGCTTATTTTCATAATGGGGCTTTGGATCTTGCTTTTACCTAGCCTACAATTTCCCCTCCTACATCTCTACATTTTGGTGATTCTGTATCACTCAGGTTTCAATTTAAAAGTCATCCTCCAGTCACTCTCTGTCATATTCCTCTGTGTGAAAGAAATCAGGGTCCAGGGTAGCACTTCTTCCTCAGCCTTCACATTCAGTTAAGCAAAGAGTTTTATTTTTTATTTTTTCTCTTCAAGTTTGCTAAGGTCCATTACATTCTCTTCTTTTCCATTGCTAGAACCCTAATATCAGCCATCTTCCTCCTTTGCCTGGACTATAGCAATAGCCTACCAGTCACTGACCCCATATTGTATTTGTTCCCTTTCAGTTTGTGTATATCCAGTCACACACTGCCTTATGTAGACAACTTTAATGACTTCCCATTGCTCTTAGCAGGATCCCTAGGTCTGTGAATGATCTGTCCCCCGTGCTTCCCTCCAGCTAACCTTTTCATAGATGAGCATTCTTTCAGTTCTTGAAACTTACTTTCACCCCTTCCCAATTAAGCACATGCCTTCTTCTTGAGTTGTAACACCACTTTACCCTCTCCCTTTGCTTTCTTCAGTCCTGCTCACCCTTCAAGTCTTAGCTTAGAAATCATTTTCTCAAGAAAGCCTTTTCTGACCATTCCTCAAGTCTGGATTTCCCACTTCCATCTTACAGATCACAGCATCCTGTACTTGCCATTCATAGTGCACACTAGGCTTGTATTTAATTCATTCATCTTTACTGTTCACCTCTTCTGCTAGAATGTTTCATCAGCTGTGGTATGATAAACGGCATGAGCTCTGGGACCAGACTGCTTCAACTCTAAAATCTTGGTAATTCCTTTTCTTCCTAGTTGTGTGATCTTGAGCGGATTACTTGGACTTTCTCAATGTAAAATTAAGTTAATTACAGTACCTACATACAGACTTGTTTTGAGGTTTACATGAGTTAATAACTACAAAGCACTTAGTATAATGTCTGGCAGATAATAAGCACTCAATAAATCATCATGATTGTCATTATTATTATGAGGGCTGGGATTAGGTCTGCCTCATTCATCATAGCACATCCAATAAGTATTTGTTGAGTAAGTAAATAATATTTTTCATAAGTCAATTAAAATTAGAAGTAACCTTATTAAATGCCTAAATGTGCACCAGGCTCTTTAGGGGATAGAGAGATTTAATAAGGAATAGTTTTCACAATCAAGAACTTTTCAACTCAGCCAATGAGAATGAGATACACAAGCAAGGTCTCCTTGAAGGGACTTTCTGAAGTTTACACATCTTTGTGCCCTAGGCATTTTCCTTGGAGTCTAGCCCATTGTCTGTAGTTCAGTATGTGCATACCGAGCAAGCATCCACCAAGCTGGCTCACAGAGAAGAGCGTGGAGAAGCCTGACTAGAGGAAGAAGCAATAATTTTGCCTTGAAAGACAGGTAGGGTTTCAACAGGTAGAGCTCAGAAGATGGGATGGGGAGTGACAGGAGGTAGGAGAGCCATTCTAGGAAAGAAAAAATTGAAGTATGGAACTGGGAAAACAAATGGTGAACACAAATAATCTGGAATGGTTTTCCAGTGCTGTCCTGGAACCAGCATCATCAGCATCATCTGAGAACTTGTTAGAGATGCAAGTTGTTAGGCCTCCCTAGATCTACTGAGCAGAAAATTTCGATTTTCTGGGACCCAGCAAGCTGTTTTAACAATTCTTCCATTTGATTCTGATCTTCACTGCATTTTCAGGACTTCCAAGTTGAGACCAATGGGTCCAGAGCAGTGTGTTCAAACTGTTAATTTGTGAACACCCAGAGATTCACAAAGATGTTTCAAGGGATTCATGTGGTAGCAATAAGCACAATGCAGGAGCTCCCTTACACACTTGATAGATAAGCATGGTATTTACTGGGGCTTAGAATAAGCATGGTTATGACTTGGCTGAATACCACTGGTTTCGACCATCATGTAGTTTTTAGTTGATTTTTTCCAACCACATATTGGGGCTGTAAAAGGGGACTTTGGTTTAAGGCATAAAGTAAGGAATGTACATGTGAGAATATAAGTTTTTGATAAGCACATGAAATATTTCTGCAAATCTGCCTCAAGATGATCTTCACTAGTTCTACAACTCATATCAGAATTCTTACAAATCTCATCAAGATGTCTCAAATGTTTAAAGAACAAACAGAAAAAGACAAAAAATATAGTGGTTTTTCAAAATGAAAGATATGACATCTAATATCATATCTAGTTTGGCTTTTCATCTGATAAAAATGTATTATTTGGAAAGTGCCTGAAAATAGCCCAAAAAACTACTTTAATATCATCATTAGAACTTCACAGTTATAAAATTGAACCAATTCCTTTTTAAACTGCAAAACTTAGTAATTTAAACATCAGCTACTAAAGTTGCCAAGTCCTGATGATGTAACATATAGTTAAATTTTATTCTACATTTTTAATATACATCAGTCCCAAAATTGCAACAATATCATTTTGAAATCTGTTACTAAACCATCTTTTTCTCTTACATAATTAAAGTAAATCAAACACTCTGTGTCACATCTCTAATGGGAAAAAGCTTAAAAATTTGTATACATAGGTTAATATTATAGAAGAGTATTACATGAATTTTGTAATATGATTTTTAATAATACAATATTCTAAAATTAAAAACTTTTTAAGTTAAAATTATTTCATTTTATACCATGAAAAATTTTAAGAGAGATGATTTACAATAATATTATGAAAACATTCATGAATCATGAACAGAGGCTGGAAAATACAGGATTAGGGCAGGGGGCATGTAGGTCTGGGTGCTGGTGGAGAGAGAGCTCAAGGTGTGGCATGGCAAGGGAAATAATGAAGATTAAGTCTAGGAGGTCTTCAGTTCTTTTCTTGAGGGCAGGAAAAGCTGAAGAAGGTTCCTAGAGTCTTGAAATCCTAAGCACAAGTGGAAGGGTTAGTTTTGGAAGAGTTTAGACATTTCTTCTTCTGAGATAGAGAGTACAACTAGAAACATTAAGAAAATATATTGTACCTATCAGAATGCTTATTAAGTTCTCTTAGTCCCTTCTAAAAGGTTCTGCAACAATTGGTCTCTTCATCACACGTCACCAATGTTTTGTGAACTGTGTCCCATGTTCTGGATCCCATCATCTCTAATCTTCCCTGGGACTTTGCTTAGTCAGGTGCCACTCTGCTCATAGGTCTTTCAGTGTTTCTTTCCATTCACTTTCCATCAGCTTACAGATGGAAACATGCTTTAAACCTGTATGAATCTGTCTGGGCTTCTAAAACAGAATGTCACAGACTGTGTGGCTCAAGCAACAATACATTTGTTTTCTCACAGTTCTGGAGGCTAGAAGTCTTTCAGGTTGGCTCCAGGGCTGGTTTCTGGCAGGACTTCTCCTGGCTTGCAGATGGCTACCTTCTTATCATGTCCTTTTGTGGCCTTTCCTCTGTGCACTGATGAGAGAAAGAGCTTCTGGCGTCCCTTCCTCTTCTTATAAGGACACAATGTTGGAAGAGAGCCCCAGCCTTATGACCTCATTTACCCTTAGTTACCTCCCTAAAGGTCTTTACTCCAAATGTAGTATACTCACATTGGAAATTAGGGCTTCAGCATATGACTTTTGCAAGGGGGACACAGTTCACTCATTAACTAAATCCTTTCATCTGCATACATTTGCACCCTCTGTTTTTCTTCCATATTCCTGCCATGACCACATAGTTGTAAAGAGTAGCTAATACATACTATACCTGCTGATGCTTTGAATTCCATTTCCTTGGTAGAAGACTCCTTTTGTATATATGTGACAATGGTCACCATCCTCTTTTATACCTGGTGAAGAACAGAGATCAAGATAAAACTTGATTGAAAAGAGAACTCCAATAAATCTGTCTTCCTTATTTAATATTATACAGATGAAACTCCCAAACTACTATTTAGAGTAAATTTTATCTTACATACACCCAGCTTTTAGCCATAAAAGAATGTTGAGTTTAATTATTTGTAGATGAATCCCATTTTGTTTCTCACCTTTATTCCTTTTCTCAGTTGTACATAAGATTGGAAGGTTAAACAGTCTACATCTTCATGTTTACTCCAAAGACCCTTTGCTCGTAGTGGGGATAGAAAGAGGGCCTTAAGTGAGAATGTCAATCTCCAGTTTTCATCCTTGTTTTGGGGACTCATATGCCAAATATAACTTTTCACATTAGGCAAGGGTTGAATTTCTTTTTCTGTATGTATTTTGATGATTGAAATACCTGGGTACCAGTCAGAGCACAGAAAGTTACTAAATTGTACTCTGGAAAAGAAAACCTATCAGGACTATGAAAGATTCTCAGTAAGGGAGACATGAAATACAAAATGCTATACTTCACTGAAAATTAAGATTTGTGCAAAAGAGACATAAACACATATATATATATATTCATATTCTATGCTTACATATTACATACACTATTTTAGATTGTGTTAATATTATATACAATATTTATTTAAACCTTGCATATTATTTTTCATATTAAATACTCAGTATAATATTTTACAATATTTTTTCATTTTTTATATAGAGCTAAGCTAGCTTGATGGAATTAAAGTGGGACTTTTGTTTTTAATTTTATAATAGTCTATCTTATTTGAATTATTTTAATAATAAGATGCATAGTTTTCAGAAAGAAAGAAAAGAGAGCTAATAATGTCAGTGTATCTGCATATTTTCTATTTTGGCTTGACAAAGTATGCTGATTACAGAACTTCTTAAAAGGTCATTTGGTAAAGTGAAATAAACGACTTGGAAAAAATACTCCTAAGGAAAAATTGTTTTGAACAATTACATCATAATAACAATAATTTAAACCACTTTGCAATTAGTCTTTTTATGAATATCTACAACTCCAAAATGATTCGTACAAAAATGAATCTTGGCAACCAATTAGTGCTTGGTCTAGCCTAATTTATTTGATTTTCTTGAGGGCAGGAAAAGCTGAAGAAGGTTCCTAGAAATGATAGCCACTTAAGATGTTCACACATAATAATATTTTTTGAAAAGTATATTACATACACTTTATTACAAATTAAAATATTGTACCTTTTTTCTTCTCATCTGAATACACTGCAATAACTTCGAAGCAGTCTGCAATCTTGTGCTTCAAGTACACCTGCAAATGCAGACACATCCTACACACATTGAGGCTTATCATTTCCATTTATTTAAAAAATTACCTAATAAATACTTTTCAGTAATTATTGTTAACTTTATTTAGGAATGATTACCATGTGCATCTTAATGATTATCTTTATGACAAACTAATTGTTACTTAAATGAAAAAGCATCCTCTTTCTTAAATACTTAAATTTAGTTGTACAAGTAGAGTAATAGGGATGAAGATGCAACAGTATTGGTTGATAGAGATGTTTCCTAAGCCAAATCAGTCTCTGCCTCTCTTTCCCTCTGTGTATGTGTGTGTATGTTGACCGTTAAGTAGGAAGCAGATCTCATGTGCAGCTTATGGAATATCTTATTACATGGAAATAACAGGCTCCTGTGAGCTTGCACAAATATATGTGATATTTTATGATTTTGTTTCATTTTTTATGAAGTATCTTACACATCAAATACCTTTTGTAATCTTTAATATGGATCCTGTTATGATTCATCAAAAACAAGATAAAATTCAAAACAGAATGTATACACTTTTTATTTCACTCAACACACTTGAAAAAGGTGACTGGATTGATGAAAAAGAAGATAAAGACAGAAATTAATTGGTAGCATCAATATACACTATAGCTTAAAAACTCAGCAATTGCCATTTATTTCTCAAATGGTACCTGTGATCAAGTGCTCCACACGAGTTTATGGGCACAACTATGTCCCTGTAGGAAACAGGGCACCAAACACTCAGAGTTGCATTGCCTATGAACTCAAGGGCTTGGGTTTGGAAACAAAAAGAAAAAAAAAGCGAAACAAAGAAACCAGAATCCTACAGCTATGTCTGCAAATACAGAAAACAGAGGAAAGGTTTGTTGACACTGATTTCCCCTCTCTTCAATGTCTACTTACTTTTTTGTTGTTGGGATGCAGAGGAAGAAAAAAACATGAAATAATCAAAATTGAAGAAAGGAGCAAGAAGAGGGAAGGAACATAGGAACTGGGCAAAGAGGAAACAGAGAGGATGTTTTAGCTGACATTCCACAAAAAAAGACACAGCCAACTCTGCTGTGCTCATTGCCTTCCTCTCCCTGCCCACTTTGCCCCGTCCTGTCCCACCAAACCTCCCCTGGTGTCTGCCTGGCGGTGTTTGTGCAGAGTAGCAGGGTGAGAGGAGGGCCTTCCCATATTTTCCATGAAGCCCGAGGAAAGATCTGTCAGATGTTTGTCATTTGGGGGAAGCATATTAACTTCTCTGAGCCACTGTTTTCTCTTTTTTAAAATGGGAAAACAGCTGATGCTACGGAGTGTTTTGGAGGAACAGCAAAAATAACACACATGTCCACACATGCACAAATACATGCCCACCTCTTCCCCAAGCCCAAACAGGCATGGCCTTATGACTCTAAAAATTAAATAAACAAATAAATAAATTTTCTGATTACCCAAGTGAAGATAAACACTCTGTAAAAGGAAATTTAAACAATATATAACTCTTAGAATAATCACTTAGTGGTTTTGGTATATTCTTTCAGCATTTTTCATCAATGAATATGCACATGTATATTTTTGTTCCAAAACACAGTTTAATATTTCATTGTGCAACTTGCTTCTTGAGTGTGATAGTACAATTGAGATATTTTTTCGTGTTATTACATACAGATCGATCTTGCAATTTTTAACAGCTATCTTTGCCGTGGCTACATTATAATTTATTACAGTGCATCCTCTTGATAGACATTTAGGTAGCTTTTTTTTTTTGACTAATACAAGCAATACTGCAGAGAATGGCTTTGCATGTATATATATTGTGTCAATTTTTCTGTCAGTAAGTTCCTAGAATGTTTGTGTGAAATGTATGCTCCATTTGAAATTTTGACAGATAACACCAAGTTGTCCTCCAAAAAGGTTAATATCTTACTGCCAATTTTGTAATTTTAGTTTTTGAGCTAGAAACCTCAGGGTCATCACCAAATCCTTGGTTCATTTCCTAGCCTCCTGCCAAACTGTGACCACATTCTGTGATTAGATCTCTGAAAAGTCTCCTAATTCCATCCCTCCTTTCTAATTCTCCTTACCTCTTTCCCAGCTCATGTCTCACAGCAGAAACTTCGGACAGTCCTCCAAAATCCATTCTCTTTGTCTTCCCCGGCACTCGAAGGAGTATGTGGTTCTCCTGGCTCCATCGTGTCAGCCAGGCAATGCCAATGGAGAGAGAACAGGAAAGGGGTTGGGTCACTAAGAACCTGTCACACAGGGTCCTTCATGCCTGTTCATGTTCTGATAGCTGAATGCTGCTGTTGGTAAGGCCCTGTGGCAGAGCTGCAGATGGCAGAGCCCGTGTGAAGGACCTACCCCCCTGCACCTACCAACTGCCTAGAGCGATTGGTCTTACATTGAGCTGTGGCACGCTTGGGTTTCTGTTACAACAACAGTCTGTATAGTTGATGAATGTAGTTCTCCTCATCTCTCACACTTCTGCAGCCTTCTTGCTGGCTTCTCTGCCACCCGCATCTTCCCTTTCCAGTGGCCCTAATGCCAGAATGATGCTCCTCTGAGCCATGCTGGCTGGTAACTCCCTACTTTAAAGCCTTCAAGTACTCAAGATCCTTTATTACATGGCCACAGCCTTCCCCAGGGGGCTTGTCTCCCACCTGTCACCTAGCCCCGGTGCTAGCACACATTTCCCATGCAGTAGTGTTCAGAACACACACAGAATGAAACAGTTCATGGTGCCTGCTTTAGAGGCAAAATAGCACAACTAGGAAGCAGTTTCATAAAAGTCGATTTGTTTCACTGGACTATTAAATTTGTGCTTAACAATTGCTGAAAATAGTGAATACATGGTTCACTTCTTCAGGGGCGTAAAATGCCACATTTCTAGTGTTATTGATTTAGGTCTATAACATTCAAGCTGGAAAGGGCCTTAGAGCTCATCTAGTACAAAATTTCCTTATTTCCAGATAAGAGCATTGCAACTCAGACAGCACAAGGAGCTTGCTCCAGGCCATGCCTCCCCTGGGGCAGACTCCAGAGCAGCCTCCAAGCCTGCCTGTCCCCAGTTCATAGCTCTGCCTCTCCAGACACCTGGCTGTCTCTAAGGGTCACAGTCACAAAAAACAAGTGGTATCTGCTGTCTACTGCCTGTTTGGAGTCAGCTCACTCCTGGGCTCCATTTAAGGCTTTATTTAAAGCTTTGGTGCCTATTCCTTTGGTTGTTTCTCTCAGTCTTGGCCTACCTGCTTACTGAGCAGAGCACAGGGTGTGAGGTCTGGCCTCTCAGTCAGCAGTCCCACCATCAATAGAACTGACTGAGCTCTTACATAAATGTGAACTTTACTCGTTGGAGCCTTACGCTTCAAGTGTGTAGAGGAGGCATTTTTCCTAATGTGGTGGGAGGAATGGCAGGTTTACAACTAGAATTATACCCTATAGAAAAATAACTGTGCCTTAAAAGGCATATTGTTTTTTGTACAAGGTCTAGAAGCTCAACACTGGGTACATTTCAAACCAACAATGCTGCGAGCCAAGCACTCGACACATGTCCCAAGTAAGATAGGAAGCTATTTAGGAAATGAAATCAACTGCAGTAAGACTCACCAAATCCTAAAGTGGAACTTACAGCTGACATCACCCCATCATTTTATAGATGAGGAAATGGGGACCTGGTAAAATGAAGAAATCTCTTTTTTTAAAGACCACACAGGAAATTCCAGCAGCAGATTGGGTGCAAGAAACGCTGGCTTGCTTTTCTTTGTCTCCCCCAGGGTCTCGGCAGAGATTTTCTCACACCTTCATGTTGCCATCTTAGGTTTGATGATGCCACTTCTGAATGGTATTGAAATCGCTTTTCAATATTTGTTTTCCTCACTCCTCTCCTGCTGAGAACCCAAAGGTGTTGTGAATCTATACTCTTCATAGAAGAGTAGTCTGAAAGAGAGATTATCAAGGAATGGACCTGGTCATTTTAAAAAAGAACTAAAGATTTTGAAGATGGTAGGCACCCACAAAACATCTTAGTTTTACCCAACAAGTGAAATTAATTTACTAATAGATGTCGACTGTGTGGAAATTTTGGGTTGTTTGAACATTCTGAATCTAATTCCTTTGTTTTAGTATGTGAAAGATCAGACTTGATGAACCCTTGGAAAATAAGAGTAGGTCAAGGAGGCACTGGCAGAGGCATTTGGAGAAGGAGTTGATTTGAATAGTTTTAGAGACCACTGCTCATTTCCATGTATTTCACCTTCCTGCAACTATCTTGAGACAAATGAACAGTCAATGAGCAGAGCATAAAGAGCCTTCAAAAAAATCTTAGCTGTTCTGTACCTTTTGGGTTTTCTTTTTGAAGCTGGAAACCATTCATTTTTTATATATATTAGACAAAAGCTAGGCTATGTTTTATGCTGTCTGCTAAATTTTTGTATGCACGGCATTCACCTCTCTATTGGGTACATGGCTTATATTTTTTATGTTAATGGGTACTGAACGTTTAGTGTTTGGAGAAGCAGAGGAAGTGAAAACTGTGAGGTCAAAGTGGTCTGAATGCAAAGAGCCAGGCTAAGAGGGCCCCAGCAAGGTGGCACAGGCATCCCCTCCATGAAGTCAGCCACCACTCTTTGCCTAGTGTTCTTCTGCCCCGACCTTATTTTATTTTCTCTGTAACACTTATCACCCTGACAACTTTAAGGACAGAAATTTAGCAATGATGAATTTTATTAGCTATTTTACTGTATGTCAGGTTTGGAGCTAAGCTCCAAGCCAATTATTTCATTATGATTCTGTCCCAGAGTCAATGTCTGTCTGACTACAATCTTTCTAGATGCTGAATCCCTGATTTTCTGATGTGTTCACTGTATGACTTCAGTCAAGACAATAAATTTCTCATGCCTCTGACTTATAATATATAAAATGTTGGGTGTTTTTGTAGGTACCTTTGTAAGTTTTATTTCTTTTGCAAAATGACTATTTTTGTAATTCCACATTTGGTTATAACAAAAGAGAAGAGGACATTAAGGAAAACTGGTGAAAACTGGGAACAGAGAATGTGGGGTTTGAGAAGTGAAAGAACGAACAGATCATGCCAGAAGGTCAAATTTTTGAGCAAAGGGAGGGAAAAAGGAGACTCTTATGCATCATTATTTTTCTGCTTTGAATGGCTAGATTCCCTCATGTCTTTCCTAGCTCAAATTCACATTTGTTTGGTTTTTTTTGTTTTTTGGTTCAAATTACCTTGTCCTGTCTCTTGGATACAAGCAAAGAACCCCATTTGTAAATTATTTAAGAAATATGAATAGCCCATATTCTTCTGCAGGCAGATATTGTCAAGGGTGACGTTGGGGGATTAGTGAGGGACAGTGATTTTATACAGTTCTTTGAGATTCTTTTCTAAGTGGATCATGGGTTTTTAGGAGAGTATTTTGTCATAGAAATTAATTTCAAATCTGCCAATTAATGAAAAAGTTTTTGGTCCATAGTTTTAAGAGGGTCACTTGTGTCCTATTTTTCTATTATGAAAAGCTAGACAATCTCTAGTGCCAAAGTTTAAATGTTACACTAAGGTGCAGCCTTATAGTCGAAGTTTACAATTTCAATTTCTCACTTACCTCACCTCTGAGGTGCTTGTTATTCCATCCCTATTCTGCACAGGGAAAAAGTGCTGGGTGACAGTCATTAAAGGTCTAAATTTGTTGTTACAGTTCCTGTGGACAGTGACGTAACCCTTTCTGTGGCCTAGCTGTGCCTGTTGATGCTGAGATGGGGGGATAGCCTGCTGGGCTCTGTTCCTGGTGGGGGCAGGATGGGTGTGCATCCTGCAATTCTTGCTTCTGAGACTTAGTCTTCCATCTCAGAATCCCTTTTGGGGTTCACTTATTATAGCCAGGGAGGGTGCCAGTTTCTAATGGATAAGAGCATGCAGGCATCAAGTATAGATATGTATGTAGCCTCTCATAGACAAACAGCTCATTCTTAGAGATTCTTCTCAGTTGGGACCATCTGTCCAAGCCACAGGCAATTCCTGGCCCAGGACTGGAATTGGCTCCCTGCAGCCTATTTTTCTTCTATGTTGCATTTGTCTCTCAAGTTAATTACCAATCTTTTCAACATCATCTTCATTCTATAAAATCCAACCCAGATATTACCTGCTACTCTTGTCTCCCTAGTTCTTCTGTTCAGAGCTATCCATTCTTGCTTGGGGAGGACAGAGAGATCTCTCATTAAAAAAAAAATCCCACCTAGTTATCAAAATGATTATGAGGTGGTAAACTCCTCAAGGGCAGAGATTATGGATTACCCATCATTGTATTTTCACTAATGCTTAAACAGTGGGCAAATATTTGTTTTATAAATAAAGTATATGCAACCAAAATGGGGCAGTGGAGATCCAACATATACAGTGTTTACAAAAACTGGATTTCCCAACATTTCCAGTATAATAGATATATCTTTCTATCTTTCTCTTTTTTAAATAACTCCCACAAACTTCTAGATTATGAACCTATTAATGTCAGAGAATATTATATAGATAGATTTTATATCTCCGTGTCTTCCATGGTGCTAAGTGCAATGCTTCGCACATCCTAACATCCTAGGTACCTCGTATAAATTATTAAAGTGGATGAATATGATTCTTTAAGCCAACTTAGTTTATTTTTTCAGAAGAATTGAGTTTTGGTGAATTAAGTTTTTGTGATCTAGCAAATTCTTCATACAAAATAGTTTGGAAAACACCTACAATTTATACTTCACAGATCTTCTGTCTATATCCTGAAATTTATTTGCAGTGCCTAAGTTAATTTGAATGAAATGAAAACCAAATTTTTTTTAAGAAAAAAGTAAAGTTGAACATTTTTAGAGATTTAGAATTATAACAATTTTCTTTCTTTATTCCTGGTTTCTCCTCTTAAATTGAAATGTGAGATTTAAAATTTGGTGAATTGTAAGTATGCTGCATACTTGTTTTAGACTAAATCAGAGTAACTAATAGAAATTCTAAGTGGAAATAACCTAATGACATGAGATTCAAGTTTTGTTGAACTAAAACTTAGTTATTTAGTTTGTGCTAATAATACAACAATTGCAATTGGCTTTTGTGAGTTATGTTGAAAACACGTCCTTTTTTGAAGTATTGAGGCCAAGAACAAGACATTAGAAAGAAGAGAAAGATTTATAGTAGAGCAGAAGTGGTAAGTAGAGGTTTTG